GGAGAGGAGAGGAGAGGAGAGGAGAGGAGAGGAGAATGCTAGTGTTGGTATACCAACACTACTCAAAACTCTATGCATTCAATATCCAACATCCTCCTTGAAACTAATTCTGAGCTGCAGACCTTAAGGATGAAATATCTGGCTTAATATCTGAAATCTTTTGCTCTCCCCTTATCTCATTTTCCGTAGTATTATGCCTGACTAAATTACTAGCACTTCCACGATGTCATTACTTTCACTCCCTAAAACTTCAGAAGCAGTTTGAAGGTGATCTGTGATTGTCTTCAGCTCTGCCAACTTGAAATGCTGAGAAATAAGGAGCAAAAATCACTGAGCTATTGAAAATGCTGGAACAAAATCCCATCAATCCTGCACCACACCAAGGGATAAGACAGCCTAATGCTTTGCCTTCTTGCTTCACTTCACTTCTTGTGAAGTAAAAGGTGGGAATTGACAAATCACTTGTCAATTTCACCACTGCTTATGTTGTCTGGGCTATTGACAGGGCAACTGCAAACTCAAGCTAGCAATTCCTCTATAGATCTTGAAGCTCAGGTACTAGGAAGAACGGTGAGGAAAAAGTTTCCTCTAATAGGGAGACTAGTCACAGCAACTCAAAAGACAAACAAACTTCATAGCACTTTCAATTATATCTTAATCAAGGTGAGAGAAACCAAGCAGTTTCCACCACTGCTCAGGTCAATGGAACAGAAGTTCAAAACTCCTTTTAAATTAGTTCAGAAGTCTAATATGAAAGTGCCCCAAGAGTTCTGAAGAACTCAAAGACTAGTCCCATGGCATTTTGGTTCTAATAAAGATGTTATCCATCAAAAGATTTAGGGTTTGTTCTTTTTCCCCCCAATCCCACAGCTAGGATTGTAATTTAAGTGAAATTGGTGTCTGAAACAGCATTTTGTGTCTCTTGGTTTTTGAAAAATGTCTCCATCTTTTTGAAAAGGAATAGATATTTTTACTAATATGCTCCTGTTTGGGTTAAAGTGTACTTGATACTAACACTGAAACCTCTTTCTTTCTTTTTCCCTTCATGGGCAGGTAAGACTTAAAGATGAACAGGGTCTTTCAGTC